CGCTATGAGTCGCAAATGACTCGATGGCACATAACAACAACACCCTTGCTTGCTGAGAGGCGGACTTGAAGCACTTGCTGCAGAATATTAAACACTGTAGCCTTCAATATGGATTGCATCTCAATGTCAAGAAATAAAAAATCCTAGCCGCTGGAGTGATAGGCCACATCATGATGGATGGAGAAAAGACTGAAGCTGCCAATGACCTCATTTTACTTGAATCCACCAATATACTCTACTAGCATTCAGGATATCAGGAGCTGTATTATCTTGGGAAAGTCTAGTCAGGGACTTCTCCAAATTATTGAAGAGCAATGATGTCAGTTTGAGGACTAAGGTGCCCCTGATTCAGGTTATGGTCTTTGCAGTCAATTGCTATATATCGAAGAACTAAGCAATGATTAAGGACGACAAGAGAATTAATACTTTTGAATTGTGTTGGAGAAGAGTGCTGAATATTCCACGGACAAACATAAGTCTTAGAGAAGTTTCGGCCAGAGTGCTCCTTGAAGGCAAAAATGATAAAGTTTTGCCTCACATACTTTGGGCACGTCACTAGGAGAGGCTATCCATTGGAAAAGGTCTTCATGCTTGGAAGGTGGAGGGATGGTGAAGAAGAGGAAGAGCCTTAACCAGGTGGATTGACAAAGTTATACTGCAGCAATGGGCTTAAGGGTGAGGGAGATTGTGAAGATGGAACAGGCTAGGACAGGGTTCAGCTCTGTTGTTCATAGGGTCACTATGAGTCTTACTTGATGGCACCTAACAACAACAACAACATTGATTAAGATTTATTAAAAGGCTTCCAACTGACAGTGTCCTGACCAGCAGCATATCTAAGGCAGGGTAAGTACCTGTTACTGAGCAGTGTCTATTAACCACTGAAGCTGCCGTTGCCAGCTGTGAGCCAGCAATTTACAGTGAACTGGCAAAGGCACTATTTTCCATGATTTGCCTCTAATTCTAATGCAGGGTTATCTGGTGGAGCAGGGAGAGGCTGCTGCCAGCTCTCAAAAAGACTCTGTAATAGACAGATGACAACTATAGGTCATTGTTAAAATTATCTTTAATGCCTGTGGAACAGAAAAGCCACGTTGGGTCAGGATGCAGAGGTGGGACAGGGTCACACGTATTTACACGGTGTTGTCAAGGCGACACAGGTGCCAGCATGAACTCAAGGTCCCCCAGTACATCAAATAACACAGGCATCTGGGTGATCCCCTCACCCCAACTCTCCAGGACTCGCTGGCAAGGGTGGAATGTGTTGGAGTTTATTCTAAGTCCTGCCTTTCAGGTGATGAACGAGCTCGCAAGACGAGTCCCTGGTCTAGAACCAGAGCTTCTGCTGAGGGGAGAGCAGGGAAGACTTGCTCTTTTCATCATTATTGTACGCAATGTGGTTGTTTCCCTGTGGGGTTCTGGCATCCCACAAGGAAGTACTGAACATGTGTTTTGAGTTAAGGCGCCGTCCACTAGGAACATCATTTTGGTCACTGCAGGCCCAGGCGATTCAGCTGCCCTAAAGGGCCCTGCCTCACGGGGACGGTGTAGGGTGAGGCTGAGGAGGGGAAGCTGGTACACAGAGGAGTGAATGGAGCGGTAGGGTGTGTGGATAGTGGGGGTGGATGAGGTTCATCTCATCTGCAGTAGTGATCTGATTCTGAAGCCCCCCAGATTTGCTGGATGGGGTGACCTCTGAAGAGCAGGGAGAAAGCAGGGCAGCTTGGGGCCCCCTAAGTGTGCATTTCGACAACAGACAGGCTCCTTCTCTGCACGTTGCACTCTTCAGAATTCAGCACAGTGAATGGTGAGGGGGTTCTCAGCTCAGTGCCAGCAAGGTCACTCAGTGAGGAAACCAGGCAGAGAATGAGGGTGCGAGGCAGGAAGGTCACTCAGTGAGGAAACCGGGCAGAGAATGGGGGTGCGAGGCAGGAAGGTCACTCAGTGAGGAAACCGGGCAGAGAA